CCAGAGACTCAAGATTACAGTGAGTCTATTTTATAATCACGAGGATGGCCATCATCAAGAAGTATTGGTGAACATGTGGACAAAGTGGATCGAGTCTTTATATGCTGCTGATGAGACTATAATTCAGTAGAGATATTTTGGAAAATAGTTTGGCAGCTCTTCAAGAAATTTTATGACCTAACAATTTTATTCCTAGGTCAAGAGAAATGAAAACACATATCCCTAAATTGCACAAAAGCGGAAACAACCCAAATATACATCAGCTGATGAATGGATGAATAAAATGTGGACATACCACACAATAGACTATTATTCAGCCACAAAAAGGAAGTATTACTTCATGTCACATCACTAGACCACTATAATAAAAGTCGCACACACAAGGTCATATATTGTATGATTCCATTTATTTTAAAAAATATTTTATTTTTATTATGTTTATGTGTATGAATGTATTGCCTGCATGCATGTAAGTACACCTGTGCCATACAATGCTCACAGAGGTCAGAAGAATGTGTTGGATCCCCTGGAGCTGGAGTTACAGTTAGCTGCCATGTGGAAGCTGGGATTTAAAGTTGGGTCCTCTGCAAGAGCAGCGAGAGCTCTTTCTTAACTGCTGAGCCATCCTTCTAGCCCCATGAGATTCCATTTATATGAAACATTCCAAATATGCAAACCTAGAGACAGTGGTTGCTGGGGCTGGAGTGAGGTGTAACTAAGGAGTAACTTTTTAAAATAATATCTTATTATTTTTATTTTATGTGTATGAATGTATTGCCTGCATGTATGTGAGTGCATCCGTGTCATGCAATGATGCAGAGATCAGAAGAGGGCTTTGGATTCCCTTGGAACTGAAGTTAAGGATGGTTCGTAGCCGCCATGTGGGTGCTGGGACTCAAACCCGGGTCCTTTGCAAGAGCAGTCAGTGCTCTTGACCACTGAGCCATCTCTCCAGTTACTATGGAGTAACTTAAAAAATATTTTTTCTCTCATCTATTTATCTTGTGTGTGTGTGTGCATGAAATAGTGTGCATATGGGGGTTATAAGAGAACTTTCAGCAACTGGTTCTCTCCTTCCACCATGTGGCATCTAGGGATGGAACTCAGGTAGTCAGCATTGGTTGCAAGCACCTTTATCCTCTGAGCCATCCAGCCAGCCCCAGGAATGACTGTTAAAGGAATACAAATTTTCATTCTAGGATGATGGAAATACTCTGGAATTAGATAATGGTGATGGCTGTACAACCTTGAGAATATACTAAAACCCACATGTTTATAATTTTAAAACAGTGATTTATCACGTATGTATTATATCTCAATAAAAAAGAACTAAAGGACTACGTATTGCTTGTATTCTCTCTGCATTTAAATTTTTTGGTAGTTAAGACAATGCTATCAGTTAATCTATATTTTAAAAAATTCCTAGAGCTCAGCATTGTGGTGCATGCTTTTAATACCAGCACTCGGGAGGCAGAGGCAGGCAGATCTCTGTGAGATCAACGCCAGCCAGGGCTACAGGGAGATCCTGTCTCAAAAGGACCAAAACAACAAAAAAAATCTATTTCAAGTAATGGGATTAGAAAGTTTCCCTCAATAGCCTGTGACATTTAAAAAGGACTTGAGCTGGATATGGTGGTATGTGTCTGTAATCCCAAACACAAGTGTTTGAGGTCAACCTGGGCTACATGAGACCCTGCCTCAAAAAACCTCCCCAAATAAAAGTTTAAAAGAAATAAAAATAAATAAAAAGGACTTGACTGTTCCTACATTCACAGAGATTTATTCTTTAATGCCAAAGAAGGTTATTGAGGCTTATTTTTCTTTAAAAACCTTCCTAAATTATTTTCATTCATTTATTCAAGGCCACATTTTGATTCAATAAGCCTCTTGCCATTTGGTTCCCAGGAAAGAATGAAACTGGGAGGCTGGAGAGATGGCTCAGAGGTTAAGAGCACTGGCTGCTTCTGCAGAGGACCTTGGTTTGGTTCCCAGTACCTATATGGTGGCTAACAACCATCCATAACTCCAGTTCCAGGGGATCCAACACCCTTTTCTGACCTCCTCGGGCACTGCACATAGGCACACTTACACACGTTAGGCAATACACTCATACACTAAAAATGAGAAGTTCTTATAAACTTCTGAGTAGGTTCTACCTTCTACCACGGCCCAGCAATGCAGCTGGTAAAGATGCAGAAACTCTGACAGCCAGAATGGCAGATGGGATACTTCTTCCTAATGCTTGACAACAAGTGGCCCTGATGGAAAACTTTATGTGTTTTTTTTGGGGTGGTGGTGGTGGCATAAGTTGATACAAAATATTATGTACTTGCCAGTAGTGTATACATCAAAATGACTGCTTCCTCTACTTCAGGTCATTTCAAAAGTGTGGTCATTCAAAAGGATCAAAGGCGGCAACTGAAGACTGAAGCATAAATGTTAAGACTGCTATTCCTTAATCTAACTCAAGGATCTCCCTTGACTTATTCTCATCAGTTCTTGATATAATAGTAGAATGTGAAGTAGGCAACTTATGTTGCCCTTAAATATAACACTCCTTCCTCCCTAGAAAACAAAGGAATAAAGTAATGTATTTAACAGTTTTATGCTTTGAGCATTAATTATATATAAGTGATTCATTCAGTAACATTCATGTGCACCAGCCTCTGCTAGAGGCTAGAAGTGAATGGATATAGACCTTACTCACGGAAGCTAAATTTTGTTTCTCCCCAGGGAATTTTAAGAGTGACATATACTAAATGGGTACAAAGAAAATAGGTAATAGTACACAGGAAGAGCCTATACCAGACCTGGAAGATAACATACAATGGCATGTAAGTTAAAGTGAAGAATCAGAGAAAAGTATGTGGTCAGAACTAGGTGACTCTCCAGTTAGTAAAAGCAAAACCAAATTTTAACATCACAACAAAGAGTAGAACACATTATTGGAAGCAAGGTGAACATTATTCTGTGAAATACAAACTTTCTATGAATATTTATTTTGCTGATTTTCAGAGGGCTCTGAAAAAGAGGGTCAACTTTTACTTGTTTTGCTAATCTCATAGTACTATATTTGCTTTTTCTGCCCTCTAGACTAGACTACTAGACTATATTATTATGATGTTCTTAACCCCTGATCCATCTCTCCAGCCCTCATTCATTTTGTCTTTTTGAGACAGGGTCTCCCTGTAGCCCCAGCTGGCCTGGATCTTGCTATGTAGATCAGGCTGGCCTGAATTTCAGATCTGCCTGCCTCTGTCTCCTGAGTGCTGGGGTTAAAGGCGTGTGCCACCATTCCTGGCTCTAGACTATAAAATTCTTTTTTTAAAAATATTTTATTTATTTATTAATTTTTTTATGTGTATGTGGGTATTGCCTGCACGTAGGTAAGTGCAGCTGTGTTGTGCAATGCCTATGGAGGACAGAGTCCTTAGAACTGGAGTACAGACAGTTGTTAGCTGCCATGTGGGTGCTGGGATTTGAACCCTGGTCTTCTGCAAGAACAGCCAGTGTTCTTAACCGCTGAACCATCCCTTCAGCGCCTAGACTATAATATTATTGAGGAAAGAAATTCATCTTTTCTTTCCTTTTGTAAAAAAGTATTTTATTTATTATTTTTATTTTATGTATATGAATATTGCCTGCATGTATGTAAGTGCACCTGTGTCATGCAATGCCCATGGAGGTCAGAAGAAGGTGTTGAATTCCCCTGGCACTGGAGTTATGGACGGTTGTTAGCTGCCATGTGGGTGCTGGGAATTGAACCTGGGTCTTCTGCAAGAGCAGCCAGTGCTCTTAACTGCTGAGCCATCTCTCTAGGTCCTTGTTTCCTTCTTTGATACATGATTTTGCTACATATAGCTTGGGCTTCCCTTGCTCTTTATGTCCCAGCCACCTGAGTGCTGGGATAACAGGCATGTGTCACCATGCCTGGCTGAGACTGTATCTTACAATGTATTCCCATTGTTTGGCATGAAGTTTAATGAGGCACTTAGTGAATGAATGAAGATCTTTAAAAAAATGAGACAGTATGGTACACTGGTCAACAGTGGAAACACTGGTAACAGCTTTAACTTGAATTCTGCCTCAATCAATTATCTGCTGCTCAGACTTACATAGTTTCCTGAATATGGCCCATTAAATGTTAGCTATAACTTGTATGTGTACATCTATGTGTGTGTACATGTGTGAGTCCAGAGGTCAACCCTGGGTGTCACTCCTCAGGTACTAGCCACTTTTTTTTTTTTCTTTTGGTCTTTTTTGAGACAGTGTCTCCCTATAGCCCCACCTGGCCTGGAACTCACTATGTAGACCAGGGTGGCCTTGAACTCACAGAGATCCGCCGGCCTCTGCCTCCTGAGTGCTGGGATTACAGGGTGTGTGCCACCATGCCCAGCTATCCACTTTTTAAAAATTGTTTTTTTTTTTTTTGTGTGTGTGTGTGTACATGCGGATGTTAGAGGACAATTCTGTGGAATTGGTTCTCTACTTTCACTTTTACATGGGTTCCAGGGAAAGACTTGGGTAATGAGGCTTCAAGGCAAGTGCCATCTTCCTGGCTCCTGTTCACCCTTTTGGTTTTGTTGAAATAGGGTCTCCCTGTAGCCCCAGCTGGCCTGAAATTCACTATGTAGACCAGAAATATACAAATCTGCCTGCTTCTGCCCCTTGAGTACTGCACCCCCCATGCTTGGCCACATTTTTGTTTTTGAGACAGTGTTTCTCACTGGTCTGGAACTTGCCAAAAAGTTAGGCTGGCTGGCCACTGAGCCTCAAGGATCTGCTGCCACTTCATCAGCACTGGGATTCTAAGAATTTACCACCACACTTAGCTTTTTAAAAATATGTGTTCTGGGGAGCGAACTCAAGTTCTCTTCACCAGCTGAACTCTCTTCAGTTCATTAGATACAAACTTTTTAAATAAGTAAAACATTAAAAATCTCCAACAGTTATGACATTTGAACATTCCCACCAAATAGCCTGTAAGTATAAAAATTTACCTTTGATGCTAGAAATTCCTGGTAGGGAGATAGGTTTTAGCTGGGTCTCAGTTTGGTCTCCAAGAAAGTGTGAAAATTTTGGCAATGCTGACGGATTTGATGTGAAACTCTGTACTTGCTCTGTAGCAAACACAAACACATTTATTACAATCAATGCCAACAGCAAATTCAACTAGTATTGAGGGTCACCTTTTAGGACAAAGGCATATATATTTAATTTAAGAGAAACAGCTGAGAATTAAATAGCATAAAAAGTAGAAAGGTAAAAGCACAGACTGAGGTATGTTTTGGACAACCAAAGATGAATTAGTTTGAAACAGAACTCTCATGCCAGGTGAGTATCCCTAATTTGAAAATCTGAACTGCTCCAAAATCTAAAGCACTCTAAAAAGTACTGACATGACAGAAGTGGAAAATTCCATGTGATGGGTCAGTCAAAATAAAGGTGCCCTAAAAATACTGTACAAAAATAACAACAGGTTATATGCATACACACACACACATACACACATAAAATGTGTATATGAAACATAAATGAACTTTGTACCTCCCAAAGATATCTTACTATACATCCACAAATATTCTAAAATATGAAAGAACCCCAAATATGCATCACTTTGGGTCCCAAACATTTTCGATAGGGAATAATCAAACTGTAGCACAAGTTAACATTATGTATGATTACATGGTAAGAATTTAAGTTGTCAAGTGACCACAGCATAGTAGCTGGATAGTAAAGATCTTCTGACTTCCTGGGAGATGTGCTCTAAGTCTGGTCTGGGAGCACGTGCCACCAGCCATGCTGGTGTTAAAAGAGTGCTACTGCCAGGTGTGGTGGTGCACACCTTTAACCCCAGCACTCGGGAGACAGAGGCAGAGGCCAGCCTGGTCTATATAGTGAGTTCAAGTCAGCTGGGGCTACAGGGAGACCCTGTCTCAAAAAGACCGAAAAAAAAAAAGGGTACTACCATGATTGTAGCAGTGTTAGGACAAGGCCTTCATTATAGTTGTTTCCCACACAAGAGAATCCAAGGAAGGCTATCCTGCATTTCCAAACCTGAAAAAAACTTGTAGGAAGGGAGGTCAAATCCAACATAGTCTAGGTACCTTTGTTATAGCCTCATCGAACCTAAATCATAAATGTTAGTTAATAAATCTGATAACATTGATAAATTTTGTCTCTACCTAAAGCAAAGTGGCCTTCCAGCTGAATACTTTCATCACTCTATGTTAATGACTTTCAGGAGGACTAATATTTATTTTTAAGTAAATTTTATGCACTTACAAAAATGGAAACAACATCTAGGACTGGTTTAATATAAACTATGACAGTAGCATTTTTGCCTATAATTGGGTGCAGGCAGCATGGAGAAGTCTATTTCCAGCTAAACATTACCCATTCTTCCCTTAATAGACTAGAGTACAAATCAAGTACAAAATGGACTTTTGCTAAATGAAAGTGAAGTGCATCAGCTTCATGTCGGTGCACTCAGGCATCACTCATGCGGTTCGATCAGTGCTTCCGGAACCTTCCCTATTACCCGTGTGGGAGGCAAGCAGCCCAAAACTGCGTGAAATATTCAGAAGTCAGCCTGGCACTTACCTTCCTCTGCAAACTCTGGAGGCCTGTCGCTTTTGGGTTTGTTTGTGAGAGCATCGATCAGCTGTAGTCTTTCTCGTAGCTTGTATACCTGAGAATTTGAATTATCTTCTTTCTGTCCAAAACAAAGATCACAGAAGGCTTAAGGTAGAAGTAACACTTCACTGGAGCCTCTGCTGTATTCCCAGAGCCAGTGCTTTGACCTCTAGCAGGTTCCCTCTCAAGTCAAGGAGGGAATGCACTGACACATACTAGGGCTATCTTTGGTGCTCAATGTCGATGAGTATGTAGCTGGATTTGAGACTAGACTATTAAGGGAACATTATGCTCTAGATGATCTGATTCATTGTGAACATTTGGCTGATAGGGAAAGGCATGCATGCATCAGCAGTAAAGGAAATGTATCCTTACTTAGGTGCTTCCTCAATGAGGATATTATTTTCTAGCAGCTATTTTTAAAATTTATTATTTTTATTTTATGTGTATGAGTATATTGCCTGCAAGTATGTGAGTGCACCCATGTCGTGCAATGCCACGGAGGTCAGAAGGTGGCTTCGGATTCCCCTGGACCCGGAGTTAAGGACGGTTTGTAGTCGCCATGTGGGTGCCGGGAATTGAACCCAGGTCTTTTGCAAGAGCAGTCAGTGCTCTTAACTGCTGAGCCATCTCTCTAGCCCTCTAGCAGCCATTTCATACTAACTAAAAAACTGTGTTGAATATCTCATATGACCTTGTGACCAGGTCATTTGAGGCAGAGCTTTAAAAAAAAAAAAGCAGCTGAGCCCAAGCAAACCACAAGTATTCCCCTGATCTACATACTGTCCTTATTTTGATGATTCAACTGGTGACAGGAATTGTCAGGGACATGAAGGAGTTGTAATATTTCTAATTCAAACTGTTGCTTTATCTGTGAGAAAGCTCCCTCTTCTTCCCAACTTGATTGAGGGTGGCATATAAAATACATTTAATTGTTAAAAAAAAAAGGAAAGTTCAGTTTCTATGAGCTTAATTTCTAACTGCTTTTGCTAGTATGAAAAGGCCTCACTCTGGGTTTAAGAGAGTATGTGTGAAATCCTTATATTCAATGTGTTTACTTATTCTTTTCCTATCTTCATTTCTACCCTAATAGTTCCTGTTCAGTGGGCCACTTGGTTTATTTAGGAAGTGTCACCATGGACATATGTAATGAAACTAGGTACTAAATGCTTACTGCTAGGAGAAACTGTATCTGGTTAGGATGCTTTGATGAGGCAGCACAAAGGGGCTGAGAGACTGGGATGACTGTTATAAAATACAAGGTATCTGACAGTAAAGCCAAGAGATTTAGGCAGAAGTGTGGTATTGTGTTCTGAGGTTTAAAAATGTGCAGAAGCAGTTCAAAAACTCAACAAAAGCCCAACTTATAATGCATGGAAACCTTAAATGTATGCAACTTTAATTAAATAATACAAATTGCTAAGGATGAAAAAAATAGAGCTAAAAAGCCTTGCATCAAAAGTTGCCTATAATATGGTTCTAGTCCAAGTTCACTTCCTCTGAACTGCCTATCCTCTGAACTCAAACACACTGTGCATCTCAGATGACACTGTAGTCACTCTGTCACAATCTTCCGGGCTTTTTCTTTACCCCATTCCAGGACACACAACGTTAACAGTATAATTGGAGAATGCCGCAATCAAACTCTTTCCTGGCATACCAGAGCATATCACTGATGGCTTATTTTATCTACACAATATGTCTGGGAAGAACAAAAAAGTAAGGTTACAAGGTGGGTATGGTGGCTCATGCCTTTAATCCCAGCGCTTGGGAGGCAGAGGCAGGTAGACCTCTGTGAGTTTGAGGTCAGCCTGGTCAACATAGCAAGTTCCAGGCCAGCTGGGGCTACAGGGAGAGCCTATCTCCAAAAAAAAAAAGGTTACAAGGTGAAGGGAACTGGCAGAGGCTTGTTAAGATTGCAGCCTAAACAAGACATGATTTTTAAGCTGGATCCCATTTTTAGATTACCTATGCCTCTGTCCTCCATCATTGGTGTAGATAACTGTCTCAGCCTAAAGGCCATTTCCCTAGGGGTGCCTTCCTGATTTTTGTTAATCTCCTTGTCATACCCTATGCTTTTCCTTTGTAGCACTTATCAGACTTGTGATCTGTTTAGTTTTGTATTAATGTTTTTGTGATGTGCACCAGGTCTTGTGTCTGTCTCATTCACTGTGGCCATCCCAGTTCCTAGTAAGGTGCCTGCTGTGGTATTCACGAATACATTACTTTACTAATTGCTTTGTCTTGGAGTTTTAGTATAAAGACCAAAGTACTCTTCTTGAGAAGGAAGGAAGAACAGGTTACATGCAGAGATGCTGATGTATTTTTTTTGTTGTTGTTGTTGTTGGTCTTTTTGAGACAGGGTCTCCCTGTAGCCCCAGCTGGCCTGGAACTCATTATGTAGATCAGGCTGGCCTTGATCTCACAGAGATCCTCATGTCTCTAACTCAGGGGTGCTGGGATTGAAGGTGTGTGCCATCATGCCTGGCCTCAAACATTAAAACGTGAATGACATCAAATATTTTTGTGCATGCATACAGTTTGAGTGCGTGCACAGGTATATATGTGGAGGTCAGAGGTTGACAATCCTGGATTTCTCTCCATCTTATTTTTTAAAAATATTATTTATTTATTTATTTATTTATTTATTTTTATTTTATGTGTATGAGTGTTTTGCCTGCATGTATTTAAGTAAGTGCATCATATGAGTATAATGCCTATGGAGGTCAGTGTGAAGGTCAGTGTCAGATTCCCTGGAACTGGAGTTATTGATGGTTGTTAGTCATCATGTGGGTGCTGGGAACCAAAGCCAGGTCCTCCGCAAGAGCAGCTGGTACTCTTAACCATTGAGTCATCTCTCCAGCACCACAGACTCAGGGATCTACCTATCTCTGCCCAACTCCAGCACTGGGTTTCAGACTTGTACCACTATGTCTGGCTTTTACATGGGTGCTGGGAATCTGAACTCATGCTTGTGTGGCAGACACTTTACCAACTGAGCCATCTCCCCACTCCCAGTATTTAATGAACGCTTTTTAAACAAAGTGGTCAAACTTATTTCAACATAAATCACAAAGGAGTGGGAGAATGGAAGAGAGCAGAGGTGGAGGCAGGGAGACAAAGTTGAAATTGGGGCTTTTAGTTGTTTTAGTCACAAACTTTAAAACTTTGAAATACAAAAAGCGACAGAACTTCTGCCCATATTCAGGTTGGGGTTGATGCTGTTGGAAGAAACAGTTGGAGAGAGGATACTAGTACCGATTTTCTCTAGTGGCTAAAAATAAAAAGAGGAGGGCAGGAACACCAAGGGGCTTGGGGTGGTAAGCTTTCACAATAAACCTTGAAAACCTTCAAGACATACTGTTCATCAAATAATCCAAAGTTCTCAGCTCTACTTAGCTTAGCGAGTTCAAAAGGGCTTTAAAAACTAGGGCTTCTCACTCAGAAGGCAGAGGCAGAGAGATCTCTGTGAGTTCAAGGCCAGCCTGGTCTACATAGTGAGTTCCAGGCCACCCGGGGCTACAGGGAGATCCTATCTCAAAAAGACTAAATTAAACCAACGAACAAAAAAAGAACAAAACAAAACTAGGGCTCCTTTAATCTTCACAGCTTTGTAGTAAATTACATACTATACACTCTTGTAAGGCAAAGGGGACAGGTCTTCTACTCTATCTTTAAAACCATATCCAAGCAACTTGCCAAGGTTCCACTGTGGCAGAGCCAGTTCAAACATTCCTTGCCATGCTCACTTCCAGCTTTGGTGGAAATTTCCTATATTTGGTTTCCATTGTCGGAAAATATATATGCCTCTGTCTTTGCTGTATGGAATCTTTAAAGGGAGACCTAAAACAATTATGAAATGATCCACATGGATCCCAGTATAATGTATAGGTGAAATGTAACTAAACAAATAAACCACATTTATTCATGAGATCATAAACCAGTAAACCTCAAGGTCAACCAGCATTAGTGATCAGTTTTCTGACATATATAATGACTTGTTGCCCTTTTTAAGTTGAGCTGCTCTGATTTCACCTTTTTTAAAAACGTTTTTCATGGGGCTGGAGAGATGGATCAGCGGTTAAGAGTACTGACTGCTGTTGCAGAGGACCTGGGTTCGATTCCCAGCACCCACATGGCAGCTATGAACCATCTTTAACTCCAGTTCCAGAAGCCATCTTCTGACCTCTGAGGCATTGCACGACATGGGTGCACTCACATACATGCAGGCAATAGACTCATGCACATAAAATAAAAATAATAAAATATAAAAAAATGTTTTCATGAGCATTTATTAATTACATACAATGATGGGTTTCATCATATTTCCATACATGAACATAATTGTTCCAGAGTTTGAAACCACTGGGAAAAGACTACCAGACCCAAATAAAATTTGAATTGGTCAAATTTATTAGGGCTATAGCTGCCTGTGGTCCTTTAGTCAGATTCAGGACCCATGGCCCCGAGGGGAGTGTGAAACTAGCTTATAAAGGCAAAACCCATACATATCATAGGAATTTCATCACACATGAGTAATGCCAAGTGGTCCTGAGTAGGGTCAGGATGGCCCAAGTTAGCAGATAAGCAAACTACAGAAGCCAGAACAAGCCTGTGTTAGTCCTTCTTTAACAGATGTATAGAGACCTATTACTATTGTTATTTAGGCTTCTTGACTGCAGTGGCTGGGAGGTGACCAAGGTCGGCTACTCCAAAGAAAGCACTCTTCTAAGGGGAAGCAACTAAGTTCAGGCGCTTAACCTTGAAGCTATTTTTCTAGCCTTTGAAGTTTAAAGTGATGGCTTTATACAAACTCAAGAAAATGGAGTTACTTTGGCTATTACAATTTGGGGGACTCCATTTGGGGCCATTACATAATGTATTCATTTTGATCATACTCACCCCCACCAACCCCCTATCCATCTCTCTTGTCCCCTTTTTACTAACCTTATTTTCCCCAACCAATCCCCCTTCTCCTTTCATTATTTATTTATTATTTCTTAGTGACCCAATTATCTTTATTAGGGTTTGTTTACAGGAGCAACTTCATTTGTTTCAAATGGTGTTCCTAACATTATATGCAAAAGAATCCCTGTAATATGTAGACAGAAGCAGAATATATCTGAGAGACAAGTTCAGGGTTAAAGAATGGCAAAAGATTTTTGGTAACGGTCACTCCTACCAATTCTAAAACCTTGAAAACACACACATATACCCACCACACAGAGAAAGAAAGAGAAAGAAAGAAAGAAGTAAAAAAAGCTGGGAGTGGTGGTACATGCCTTAATTCCAGCATTGGGGAGGCAGAGGCAGGTGGATCTCTGTGAGACTGAGGCCATTTTGGGGTGGTCTACATAGTGAATTCCAGGCCAGCTAAGGCTTCAGGGAGACTGTGTCTCAAAAGCAAAAGCAAAAGCAAACCAAAATCAAAAAAATCAAAACCCAAAAGACTTCCTTTGGAAATAGTGCTAAGCTTCCCTAGCAGATGGGCCACTGGCAATATAAGAAGAGATTTCTTATCTCTGCCAACAAATCACAGTGAGGTGTTGGCAGACTGCCCCTCACACAGCCCTTTCTAAATGCAGACCGTGCCATTCATTTCACAGAGATGGTGTAAGGGTTAGAGACGTGGGTTAAACACAAACCAAATGAGAGTCCCTTAAATATGCCAGAACACTGTTCTCAGGAGGTAGGGGAATATCATCTATGTACAGACAAAACACTGGAACACAGAACATGTCACAGAAAAATCTGAAAAGGCTTACCATCTGGGAGGTCAGGTTTGTTCTCTTTTTCACCTTGCTCAATGCGACCACATTGCTTTCTATCAGGCTGAGTCTCTGTGTCAGATTACTGAGTGTCTC